ACACACACTGCCCGATATGGACGGAGAGACTCTCTGGTCATACATCCAAGACAACCCCGAGGTGGTGGCGGTGTATGCAGAGTCAAACCCTCATTTTCCAAAGGTATGGCGTTGCACATGTGTGTGTGTGTGTGTGTGTGTGGGGGGGGGGGGGGGGGGGGGGGGGGGGGGGCCAGGCGGAGAGGTTGTGGAAGGTCGTGACTCATGTGTCGACGTGGCGATGGGCGGTGGGATGGGCGGTGGAATTGGGGCTGGATGTAGGAGGTTCGGGCGTGTTGCGCTGGATGGATCGAAAGCAGAGACTGGAGTACGCCTGTGAGAGCGGAACAGGCGCCAGCATTGGCGCGGGGCTTGTTTGATGCCCTGACAGAGGTGCTGCAGCATTTGGAGACGGTGGCGGCGTCAGTGCCGCATGCCAGATTCAAGCTCAATCGGCTGACCCAGATCGGCCGCACCCTCCGCGAGGAGTACGCAGGCAACGACGCGCGGCTGTTGGAGGCGCTGCGGGTGTGCATGATGGCCGAGGCCGCCGTGCTCGAGGGCGCAGAGGGTGAGGGCGGAGTGGGTGGCGGGTCGGCCGGGGTTGGGGCCAGCTCCCGCGCGCCGCAGGCCATGGAAGATGGCGGACAAAGTCCACGCGAAGGTGAAGACGTCGTCTCGGGGCGGGCGGGCCCGCTGCTGCGCCAGTACAATGGGCTGGCGCACGAGGCCCGCGGGTCCGAGGACGAGCTGCGGTCGGTCCAGGAGCTGCAGGAAGAGTTTCGAGTCCAGTATCTACAGAACGAAGACCGAATCGCAGCGCTTGCGCAGGGCTCCGGGCCGAACAACCCGCAGGCGCGGCAGCAGCTCCACGCGTTGTACCAGTCGCTGGCACAGCAGTCGGAGCAGCTGATTGGGATGCGGCGGTCGCTGAGGAGCGCGCTGGCTGGCGAGGCCAACATGCTGCGAACACTGCAGGCAACGCTAGGCGAGATGCTAGGCGAGTGGCGCGAGAAGCAGTTCCGTAAGGCTGTGCCAGAAAAGATACTAGCAGCGGAGCTGCGTGAGCTGCGGCAGCTCCTGATGCGACAGGCAGCTGCGCTGTTTTCGCTCCGTGAACGGCTCGAGGTGCTGCGTTTTCTGCGGCAGCAGCTGCCGCCGGCAGCATCCGCCGATGACGACGGGGAAGTGAGCGTGCCCGAGGCCGAGACGCTGGCGGCGGCGGCGGACGCGATGATTGAGAACCTGGTGCTCGGCTCTTGGGTTGTGGTTGAGCAGCCTCCGTCTGTGGTGCGGCGGCGAGTGCGGACACGGGTGAGCATCGAGCTGCTTATTGGGGCATCCCACGTTGTGTCGCTCCCGATGGTCTCTGTCCAACTTCTGGATGCAGTGACGGGTGAGCCAGCATCGGCGCAGCTGCTCAACGCGACCAAGCGGGCCGAGGCTACGAACGACGGGCGATGCGTGGCGGTCTTTTCCAGCCTCTGTATTGCAGACATCCGGCATGCGTCGCTGACCAAGGACAAGCTCTCTGCAGAGTGTATGTACCGGCTTGCGGTGTCGTGCGAGGCTGGGCTGGCCCACGGCACGTACTCGCTCATTGCTGTCTCCAACCCCATCACGCTCACGGTGAGTCGGCGGCAGGCTGCTCTGGCTGCCGCGACGATGTTCTGGCATGAGGCGTTTGCCGACTCGTTCGAGGCGATTACGGCGCCAGAAACGGTGTTCTGGTCGGCGCTGGCTGGGGCACTGGAAGCCTCGTTTGCGGCGTCGGGTCGGGAGCTGGGCGCGGACGTGTTGGCGTACTTTCGGTCCAAGGTAGTGAGCAGCGTGCCGGGTGACTCGTCGGACATTGTGTCGTTTGAGCAGTTTGCCAAGGCCGACATGGGCAAGGGCTTTTCGTTCTGGGCGTGGCTCTTTGCAGCGCGCGAGGTGCTCGAGTCGTCACCGCACATGCGGGCGCTGTGGGCCGACTCACTGGTCGCCGGCTTTGTGCCCAAGTCTGGTGTGGGCGGCATGCTTTCGGCGTATCCAAGCGGCTCGTTTCTGCTCCGGTTCGCCGACTCGCTTCTAGGTGCGCTCTCGATCTCGTACGTGTGGGACGACTCGCGCGGGCGGCAAGTGGTCCACCTGCAGCCGTGGACGCTGACCGAGTTTGAAACCATCTCACTCGCCGACCGCATCCGGCAGACGGAGCAGCTAACGCTGCTCTACCCGACGTTTCAGCACCGCGACGAGGCATTTGGCGCGTACTACTCGCCGGATGAGGCAGTCCAGGCTGTAGACGGCTACGTGACCACCGGGCTCAAGATGACCGTCGAGGGCGGAAGTGAGAGCAGGCAGGGAGGCGGCGAGTCGGCGTTCTCTTTCCCGCTTGATCTGGGCCCGGTCTCGCCGCTAGGCGAGGCTTCCAACCCGTTCTACACCGGCATGGAGCCGGCCGAGCCAGCGGCTGGGTACAGTGGCATGCTGCTCAGCCCGTCGCTGGGCGCACCGGCGTTTGGTGGGGAGGGCCCGAGCAGTGAGGGTGGTGGGAGGCTGCCGGAGCTCTCCTTTAACATGGGGCTGGAGCCGCTGCGGTTTGACGAGGCGCCATCGTTGGGTTCGCCGCCGCTGCAGGGGTCCGCGTCAGCTGAAGGCGGCCTGTTTGGGTTCGGCGGCTCGCGCCAGCGCTCGTTGGGCGGCGATGAGCTGCGCGACATGCTGCAGTAGCGCATGCTCAGGGGCACGTCTCGCTTGCTGCGAGATGGCAGGTACTTCGCAGCAGGTCCGCGATTTTGAGGGCACGGGGCGAAGCGGCGGATGCGAGTGCGGCAAGCGTGGCGCGCGGTACGGCGCCCGGCGCTGCGCGCGGGTGCGGAGCGGGAGGCACCGAAGGTGGAACGGCATTCGCGAGCAGCTCGGAGATCAAAGTATGCGCAACGGCAAGCGCAGGAGCGAGTTCAAAATCCTGCGGGTTGAAGATCGGGTTGCAGCCGAGACTCCCCTCCGCAGCAGCGGGATTGCTCGCGCCCCACAGCTCGAGGGCATACGAGAAGGGGACGTTAGCAGCGCCTGCCATAAAGTCAAAGATAGTGCCGTCGGCGGGGTATTCGGAGAGGTCTGCGGCGCGGCCGACGTCAAAGTGGACCCCATGCGCGCAGGCAACAGTGCCTGCGGCAGCGACGGCGGCAGCGAGGGCAGCAGCGTGATTATCGGGGGCAGCACCCGATGCGCGCGAGATTGAGTCGGCAAAGGGGAGATAGATGTGGTGGACGCCCGCGTGCAGCGAGAGAAAGATCTGCAGGGGGTTGACGAGCGAGCTTGCGTAACCGGCCAGAAAGGCAGACTCTGGCTCGGAGAGTACTGTCTTGCCACAGTACTCCTCGGAGCGCGGATTGTGCGAAGCGCCTTCGCCGCCCCAAGCCCAGGGAAAGTTGCGGTTGAGGTCGACGCCGCGGGCATTGCCGCGCCAGCAGTAGTTGCTGGTGGCCTCGACTCTTGCACGGCCATCGGGGTTGAGCAGCGGTAGGAGATGCAGCGTGTATGTATCTCTTATCCAGTGCGCAAGCTCTCTGCTCATGCCTGCCACGCAATCAGAGTCTGATGGACTCGCTGGCGCCTGAAGGGCCCGGCCGATCTCGTCCACGAAAGAGACAAGCGCGTGAGACGGCAGGAGCTCTCGAGCATGCTCGCCGGCGACGATGAGAGCATGGACAGGACCATGGCCGAGACGAATGACAGGAATTGCTCGTCCTTCCGCGAGTGGCCCTCGGCCGGCCGGGTCACCGACTCTGCCGGCCATCGCGCAAGGGCCTCATCGAGTGCCGCGCGTAGGCGAGAAGCGGACATGTGTGTAGCAAACGAGGGCCGATAGACATCAGCAACGTCTGGATAAGGTGCAACAGCAGGAGGCGAGGGAGCAGCGAGTGTTGTATGAGAGAAGGGGGTGAGGTGAGCCACTGCGATGATTGCGATGAGAAGGATGATGATGAGATGATGTTTGGTGAGGGCGAGTTGGCGAGGGCAGAGGGTGAAGGGGCAGAAGAGAGAGGGCGACACAGCCATGGCCACCACGACAGAGAGAGAGAAGGCTGGTCCAAGTCACTCGTCTGGCTATGGACGACAGCGAGGAGGCAGCAGCAGAGAGGGGTCTACACTGGGGAGAGGTGGATGGCGTCTTTGGTCCCGGTCCTGGTCCTGGTGACTGTGGCAAGAACGGTGGCATCGACCGGGCCATGGCCGCTTGGCGGAGGACGACGCCGTCGCCGCGACAGGTGGTGCAGCAACCACAGCAGCAGACACAGGAGAAGGCGCAGGTGATGATGACACAGGCGTCGCAGGAGGAAAAGGCGGTGAGGGCGAAGGATGTGGGTCTAGCGACTGAGTTGCGGGTGCTCGAGTCAGAAAGAGCGCATGCGGTGCTGCTGCGAAGCTATGCTGCGGCAGGCCTGGGTGTGGCGGCCGAGGCCGAGGCGCTGCGGGAAAAGGTGGCGATGATGGAGGCTGCTGAGCGGAGGAGGCAGGGTGCGCACGCTGCGGCAATGGCCGAGCTGCAAGAGAAGATCAAGCGACGGGAAGAGCAGATGATGGAGCTCGAGGCGGCAATAGCAAGAGAGCGGGCCCGAGGCGAACGCAGAGTGGCCATTGCTGTCGGCGAACGGACAGCCGTGGAAGAGGCACGCGCAGTTGAGCAGACCGCGATGTTGGTGGGTCTTGAAAGCCGTGGCTTGCCAGTGACGTGCGGAAGCGCTGGTGAGTTTCTCGCCATTGTCGACGCGCTGCAGGCCAAAGCTGGACAGGCACATCAGGCAAGGGATCAGGCAGAGCAAAGGTGCAGTAAGCACGCGGAGGAGCTAAGGAGAGCAAAGCAGGTGCTTAACGGCAACGGACTTGGTGGAGTAGGGATCGTTGAAGACGTACTTGCGCTGAAAGTACGCCTTGATTCAGCCGAACTGGATGCGGCCACACTCGAGGCTGTCCGTGCCTCGCTGGCTGCTACTAGGGTGGTAGACGACGCTTCTGATCCGGCCGACGCCGTCCAATCACTTGCTGCATCGCTCGAGCAGAAGACTGCCGAGGCGGCCGAGGCTGAGCAGAAGGCGAGTGACAAGACGGCTGAGCTCAAGGCTGTTTGCGCCGCGCTGGCTGCTACTAGTGTGGTAGACGACGCCACTGATCCGGCTGCCGCCGTCCAATCACTTGCTGCATCGCTCGAGCAGAAGGCGGCCGAGGCGGCCATGCTCGAGGAAAAGGCGGCCGAGGCTAAGCAGAAGGCGAGTGACAAGACGGTCGAGCTCGAGGCTGTTCGCGCCGCGCTGACTGCCGCTGGCGCAGTAGATGATGACACCACTGATCCGGCTGCCGCTGTCCAATCACTTGCTGCATCGCTCGAGCAGAAGGCTGTTGAGGCGGCCGAGGCTGAGCAGGAGGCGAGTGACAAGACGGTCGAGCTCGAGGCTGTTCGCGCCGCGCTGACTGCCGCTGGCGCAGTAGATGATGACACCACTGATCCGGCTGCCGCTGTCCAATCACTTGCTGCATCGCTCGAGCAGAAGACTGTCGAGGCGGCCGAGGCTGAGCAGAAGGCGAGTGACAAGACGGCTGAGCTCGAGGCTGTTTGCGCCGCGCTGGCTGCTACTAGTGTGGTAGACGACGCCACTGATCCCGGCTGCCGCCGTCCAATCACTTGCTGCATCGCTCGAGCAGAAGACTGCCGAGGCGGCCGAGGCAGAGCAGAAAGCGAGTGACAAGACGGTCGAGCTCGAGGCTGTTCGCGCCGCGCTGACTGCTACTAGTGTGGTAGACGACGCCACTGATCCAGTTGCCGCCGTCCAATCACTTGCTGCATCGCTCGAGCAGAAGGCGGCCGAGGCGGCCATGCTCGAGGAAAAGGCGGCCGAGGCTAAGCAGAAGGCGAGTGACAAGACGGTCGAGCTCGAGGCTGTTCGTGCCGCGCTGGCTGCTACTAGTGTGGTAGATGGCACTTCTGATCCAGTTGCCGCCGTCCAATCACTTGCTGCATCGCTCGAGCAGAAGGCGGCCGAGGCTAAGCAGAAGGCGAGTGACAAGACGGTCGAGCTCGAGGCTGTTCGCGCCGCGCTGGCTGCTACTAGTGTGGTAGATGACACTTCTGATCCAGTTGCCGCCGTCCAATCACTTGCTGCATCGCTCGAGCAGAAGGCGGCCGAGGCGGCCATGCTCGAGGAAAAGGCGGCCGAGGCTAAGCAGAAGGCGAGTGACAAGACGGTCGAGCTCGAGGCTGTTCGCGCCGCGCTGGCTGCTACTAGTGTAGATGATGACACCACTGATCCGGCTGCCGCTGTCCAATCACTTGCTGCATCGCTCGAGCAGAAGGCTGTTGAGGCGGCCGAGGCTGAGCAGGAGGCGAGTGACAAGACGGTCGAGCTCGAGGCTGTTCGCGCCGCGCTGACTGCCGCTGGCGCAGTAGATGATGACACCACTGATCCGGCTGCCGCTGTCCAATCACTTGCTGCATCGCTCGAGCAGAAGACTGTCGAGGCGGCCGAGGCTGAGCAGGAGGCGAGTGACAAGACGGCTGAGCTCAAGGCTGTTTGCGCCGCGCTGGCTGCTACTAGTGTGGTAGACGACGCCACTGATCCGGCTGCCGCCGTCCAATCACTTGCTGCATCGCTCGAGCAGAAGACTGCCGAGGCGGCCGAGGCAGAGCAGAAAGCGAGTGACAAGACGGTCGAGCTCGAGGCTGTTCGCGCCGCGCTGACTGCTACTAGTGTGGTAGACGACACCACTGATCCGGTTGCCGCCGTCCAATCACTTGCTGCATCGCTCGAGCAGAAGGCTGCCGAGGCGGCTACTACAATGACTGATCTCAAGGTCATCCGTGCTGAGACTACATCACTCAAGCAAAGAGTGGACAAGTCGGAAGAAGAGTCTACGGCCACCGCCGCCGAGCTCAGGTCTGTCCGTGCTGCACTCAGTGACCGCTCCGCCGAGCTTGAGCGCCTACGTCTCCTACTCGCGTCCGCCGAAGAAGACCGCACACTTCTCAAGTCCGAGTCCATGACGTCGATGACCACATCAAGAGCCAACGCCTCGGTCCTGGAACGGGCGCTGGGAGAGCTGAATCGCGCGTCGCAAGAGCGTGACGAGCTTTGCCGTCAGCTGCAAGACATGAGCTCTGAACTCAATCGCGTGCGCGGCGAGCAGATGGCCCGTGTCGACGCCGTTGCCTCGCAGGATCAAGCGATCGCCCTTCTCCGCCACGAGTTCTATGTCTCGGAGCAGCATCTTCGCCGCCAGCGCATGCTCTGCGCTTTTGTCAAGCTGCAGAACACTGCCCTCAAAGCCAAGCTCCGTGCCGCAGCCGCTGCTGCCGGCCCTTCTGACCACCTCCACTCTATCCCGGGCACTCCCACCACGCCAGTCTCGCCCGCACTCCGCCCCCGTACCAAGTCGTCCACGTCTCTTTACATCGCAGGCGGTACTCTCCATGTTTCCGACTCCTCGTCATCATCCGACGACGAAGCTCTCGATTCGTTCTCCTTCTCCTCATCCGACGCTGACAACAATCACCACACCGCCGACCACAGCCTCAATCGCATCCCGCATCCGAGCCTCGCCACCACTCTGTAGATCATCATCACCAAACCAAAGCTAATCCCTTCACCCTCGCCAAACCCGCTCACCCCCCCCCCCGCCCCCCCCCGCCCCCACCTCCCTCCCCACCGCCCGACACCTTCATACAGACAGACTCGTCGCTCGACCAACATGTCGGCTTCGTCGGGGATTATGAACCAGTTTACACGTACGTCCTCACCCACACAAGCACTACCATCTCGTCCCATTGTAGAGGTTGGGGGAGGGGGGGGGAGGGGGAGGGAGGGGAGGGGGGGGGGGGGGAGGGAGGGAGGGAGCAGCGGCTGAGCGTGGATGGACGGCGGAGGAGCCGATCCGACACCTGGGGCGGGGAGCCAGGGAGCGGGGGGGAGGGGGGGCAGAAGAAGAGGAAGAGAGGGAGTATGAAGGGACAGATAGAGGGACTTATGTGAGGTTTGTATGCATATGATGTGTGTGGTGGGTTGAGGCGGACAGAGAAGACACGGGATGGGATTATGACTCGGTGGGCTGACAAGAAGTCCCTCGATGCGGTGGACAATGCTCTGGGCTCAACGATGGAGGCTTCTGACTTTTATCATTCTGCTGATGGCAGCCGGTTGGCTGTCACTACCGCTGCCGCTGTTGTGGTCTACGATACTCAAACAGGTGCGGAGCTGCTCTCGCTTCCGGTGCCTGGCGTTCGCAAGGTCAAGTTCTCGCCTCGTGCGACCCACATCGTCACCTACACTCGCTGGTCAAAGACGCTCGAGGAGGGCAATGTCGCTGTGTGGCGCGTCGATGACGCCGCTGAAGTCGATCGCATGGTCCGCAAGACCTTCCCGCGCGGTGGTGATCACACCTGGTCGCCGGTGTGGACTTCGGACGAGGCCCTGTATGTCCGCGGCTCGGGCGCGCTCGAGTTCCACGACGGCGCTGCCATCGGCTCGGATGCTGGCTCGCTCGCCCGGCTCGAGCCTGGAGGTGTGCTTGAGTACTGCGTTGCGCCAGGCCCGGCGCCGTACCACGTGGTCGTCCGCTGCAAGCCTGTCCGTAAGGGCGGCCCGTCGACGCTCCGCATGTACGAGTACCCTCGTTTCGGCAAGGGCGAGGCGACGTGCGTCAAGGCTCTCACCAGAGTCGACGAGGTCGACTTTGACTGGTCGCCGGACGGCTCGGCTGTCCTTGCCTCGGTCTCCACCGAGGTCGACACCACCGGCCAGTCGTACTACGGCGAGACGACGCTGTACTACATGGCCGCCAACGGCTCGTTTGACTGCGCCGTTCCACTCGTCAAGGAGGGCCCCATGTACGACTCGTCGTGGGCGCCCGACTCGCAGTCGTTTGTCGTCGTTCACGGCCGCATGCCAGCCAAGACCATCCTCTACTCGCGCAAGTGCGAGGCCATCTTTGACTTTGGCACCTCGTCACGCAACACGGTCGCCTTTTCGCCGCAGGGCCAGTTTGTCTGCATCGCAGGCTTTGGCAACCTCACCGGCGAGATGGACTTTTGGGACACATCCAAGCTCAAGCTCATGGGCACCGCCGAGGCCAACTGCCCCGTCTACTACGGCTGGTCGCCCTCGGGTCGCCTCTTCATGACCGCTTCGCTCTTCCCGCGCATGCGCGTCGACAACGGCATCCAGATCTGGTCCTACTACGGCAAGCTCCTTCACTCGGACACCATCGACAACGTCGAGTTCTCCAAGATCGAGTGGTGCCCAGCCCCGATCGAGAACCACCCGCCGCGCCCGGTCTCCCCGATTGTCGAGGAGGCCCTCAAGCGCAACAAGCCGTTCCGCACCGCGGCTTCGGGCGCTACCTCGTCCGGCAACGTCGCCAAGAAGGCCTACGTCCCGCCTCACCTCCGCGGCAAGAGCGGCAAGTCGTCCGTCCCCGGCCTCCGCCGCGACAAGTCGCCGCCCCGCGATCTCACCGCCGCCAAGAAGGAAAAGGTCGAGAAGAAGAAGTACGTGCCCGGCGCCCGCCAGGCCCGCCACATCCCGGGTGCTCCGCCCCCGGGCGCTGCACCGCAGAAAAAGTCCAACAAGAAGCCCAAGGGCAACAACAAGGGCAACGCTCACTCCAACTCGGGCAATGCCTCCCGCACAAAGGCTCTGGCCGCCGGCGAAGTCCCCACCGCCCAGTCGTTCCTCCTCAACGTCACCGACGACTCGCCGCTGGTCATGCTCACCAAGAAGACCCGCAACCTTAAGAAGAAGCTCCGCCAGATCAACGACCTCGCCGAGCGCAAGGCCATGGGTCAGGATCTCTCAGAGACTCAGGAGGTCAAGCTCGCCTCCAAGGACGCCGTCGCCGAGGCCATCGACATCCTCGTTGCCCGCACCGATGCTCTCAAGGCTCTCGATGCTGATGCCCAGTAGAGCGCCGCCACCCGCCGCCACCTTCCGCCATCCGCCGCTATCCGCCGCCACTCTTGTGCTGCATTTAGCCGCCCGCGATAATCCGTGTCTGCTCCCCCGCTCTCCCCTTTTCCCCTTCTCCCGTTCTCTTGTTCCCAAAACACGTTGAGGGGATATCGCCACCTCCCCCCCACCCCCCCCC